TTGTCTTTTTGAGACAGGGTCTCGCTATGCAGTTCAGGCTGGCCTTGAGCTCACTTTGTGGCCCAGGCTGGCCTCGAATTTGCAACAATCCTCCTGCCTCAGCCTCCCACGTGCTGGGATTACAGCTGTGCACCACCATGCCTGGCTCTTTAAATCTTTTGTTTCCTTTCTTCTAGTGATAACTTTTTTTTTTTGGTACCAGGACTCGAACTCCACCTTGCACTTGCCAGGCAGACACTTGTGCCACTGAGCTATATCCCTGGCCCTCATGATAATATTTTTGTATGATGAAACCAGCTAAAAATATAGAACACTGCATGAATTTTTTTTTTTTTTGGGTACCAGGAATCGAACTCGGGACCTTGTGCTTGCCAGGCAGGCACTTATGCCACTGAGCTATATCCCCGGTCCCAACACTGCATGAATTTGTGTGTCATCCTTCCATGGGGGCCATGTTAATCTCTGTATTGTCCCAATTTTATTTTTAATGGAACTGGGAATCGAACTCAGGACCTCATGCTTGCCAGGCAGGTGCTGTGCCAGTGAGCTACGTCTCTGGCCCCTCCCAATTTTAATATATATGCTGACAAAGTGAGCACCCTGGTGATATATATCTTTTTTTGTTTTTTGATTTTTGTCTTTTTTTTGAGATAGGGTCTCACTATGCAGTTCAGGCTGGCCTTGAGCTTACTTTGTAGCCCAGGTTGGTCTCAAACTCGCGATGGTCCTCCTGCCTCAGCCTCCCGAGTGCTGGGATTACAGGCATGCGCCACCACGCCTGGCTCCTGGTGATATTTATGACCTCCTGTATATTTCTCTTACTCTGATGGTTACTTTACTAAAAGTTTAGAGCCAATATTTAAATACCAGTGTCAGAAATAAAGCCAGGGGCTGTGGATATAGCTCAGTGGCATAAGCGCTTGCCTGGCAAGCCTGAGGTCATGAGTTCAATTCCTGGCACCAAAATAAGTAAAGCCGGGCATGGTGGCATATGCCTGTAACCCCAGCACTTGGGAGGCTGGCACAGGAGAATGACTGCAAGTTCAAGGCCAGCCTGAACTACATAGGAAGACCCTGTCTCAAAATACCATACATAGAATAGAATAGAAAAGAAAAGAAAAATAAATTGTCTGCCACTCACTGAAGACCATAGTTTTTGCCTGGATTTCATTCCTCAAAATACTTTCCTTGAGCCAGGCATGGTGGCACATACCTGTAATCCCAGCACTCTGGGAGGCTGAAGCAGGAGGTTCGTTGTGAGTTCAAGGCCAGCCTGGGCTACAAAGTGAGTTCAAGACCAACTTGAACTTCATAGTGAGGCCCTGTCTCAAAAAGACCAAAAAGAAAAGATACTTTTCATTTTTAAGAATTATTTTAGGGCTGGTGATATAGCTCAGTGGCACAGCAGGAACCTGGCAAGTGCAAGGTCCTGAGTTCAATTCCCAGTACCAAAACAAAAACATTTTATGGTAATTGCATTAAATTTCACAGCTACATCATCAATATTTATGAAGCTATGACTTGAATTTACCTAGATTCATTGACTATCACTATTTCTTACTTCCTTAAAATGAGAAATACTGCTCCCTTTCCAGAGAGGGGAAATTCCTTCCCAGAACAAGGTTGATGAGCAGATAGGTGGGTGGGGTGGACAGAGGGATAGATGGACAGATGGTGATGGATTATTCATTGTTCTTTGCCTGGTTGGAATTGAGTCCCCCACAGTGTTCTGCCACGCTTTCAGTTGGAACCTGTGCATCGTGTCCTTTCAGTCAGCATCTGTCCGCCCTGTCTTTCCTGTCAGAACCTGTACATTGTGCTCCTTAGTACCTGTCAGTCCCTCTGCCCTCCTGAGTGCTCACTTCCTCACCTGTGAAATATATGAGCCACCAGGAAGAAGGGACTGGGCTCGTGACAGTCCTAGCCAGCACCCCCGCTCCAGCTCCACACATAGATCCAAGTCCTACCCAGCCTTACCCCTGGCCCCTGGTTTCCTGCCTTCTTTTAGGGGAACTACTAAGCTGAGGCTTTTTGCAGCTGAGCTGGCTCCCCTAGCTAAGAGCCCCATGACCCCCATGTGCCTCTGGTGTTAAGGGATTTTTCTTGTTCTGCCTTGATCACAGAAGCACTTCGCAGGCAGATACGATCTAGAGCAGGTGTGTCCAACCTGTGGCTCACAGGCCTCTTGCCCTCTTCTTTTGTACTGGGAATCGAACTCAGGACCTTGCACCTAACAGGCAGGTGTTGTGCTGCTGAGCTATCTCCCCAGCCCCCCTCTTTTCTTTAATGTTAAGTATAAAAAGGAAGATTTGTTAGTTATATACATTAACTATTTTATATGTAGCCCAAGACAATTCCTTTTCACTTGGTGCAGCCCAGGTAGGCCAGGCAACTTGCAACCCGCAGGTTGGATATGCCTGACTATAGTCTCCCACCGGATCAGGAGAGATTGAGACTAGGGTCCAGAGTTGGGTAGATACCAAAGGGACAGTGCTGTTTGCAGTGGGAGTGGTTCTGGTGGGGAGCAAAATGAATGATTTAGAAAATGGGTAAATAAATGGAAGAATTAATGAATGAGAAGGTGAATAAGTTGGTGACTGAACAGAAAGATACAATCTCAGTTTTTTTTTGTTGTTTTTTTTTTGTCTTTTTGAGACAGGGTCTCACTATGCAGTTCCGGCTGGCCTTGAGCTCACTTTGTAGCCCAGGCTGGTCTCAAACTCGCAACGATCCTTCTGCCTCAGCCTCCCGAGTGCTGGGATTACAGGCATGCGCCACCATGCCTGGCAGAATGGAGAGATAAACTAGTGGAAGAATAAATGTACAAATTAGTGCCTCCTAAAAGCCGGATGTGGTGGCTTACACCTGTAATCCCAGCACTCAGGAGGCTGAGGCAGGAGGATCATTGCGAGTTCGAGACTAGCCTGGAATACAAAGTGAGCTCAAGGCCAGCCTGAACTGCATAGCGAGCCCCTGTCTCAAAAAAGACAAAACAAAACAAAAAAAACAAAAACAAGACAAAAAACCCCAAAAAACAAATTAGTGCTTCCTGTGGTGACATACACCTGTAATCTCAGTATTCTGGAGGCTGAGGCAGTTTGAGCAAGTTTGAGCCCAACCTGGGCAAATTTAACAACTTATTGAGATCCTGAATCAAAAATATAAAAGGGCTGGGGATATAGCTCAGTGTGAGGGCCTTGGGTTCAATCCCCAGTACTGCAAAAATTTTTTAAGAAAGAATTGGTGGGGAAATTAATGGAGAGAATGATGAGTGGTCTACAGGAAGTGAGCGGTTGAGTCAGCATGACAGCTTGGGCTGGGAGTGTCTGGAGACTGACTCTTCTCCATCCCCTCACCTGTTTTTCTTTGCAGTGCTGGGGATTGAGCTTAGGCCCACATGCATCCTAGGCAACCCTTGACCTCGTTGCTTTTCTCTGCCCCCAGTGTCCTCTATTTTTCCATCCATCGCTATGAGCAGGGTCGGTTCTGGCCCCACCTGAAGGCCTCTAACTGGTCTACTACAGGTTTCGGCCAAGGTCAAGGCTACACCATCAATGTACCTTGGAACCAGGTCTGTATCTACCACTCCAGCCCTGCCCTCTGCTCTCTCGGGCAAACAGCTACCTGTCCCCATCACGCCTCTGTCCACAGGTGGGGATGCGGGATGCCGACTACATTGCTGCTTTTCTGCACATCCTGCTACCAGTTGCTTTCGAGGTCCTGGGATCTGGGAAATGTTGGGGTGAGGGGCACCAGTAAGGGATGGCCCATGAGGACAGGTGGTCTCATGTAGCCTATTCCCCCCTCAGTTCCGACCTCAGCTGGTCCTAGTGGCTGCTGGATTTGATGCCCTACAAGGGGATCCCAAGGTAAGGCCAGCCTCTGAGGTTGGCGGATGAGCAAAAGGAGCTGCACAGAGCCAGGCTCACCCTCCGTGTCCCCCAGGGTGAGATGGCCGCCACTCCAGCAGGGTTCGCCCACCTAACCCACCTGCTCATGGGTCTAGCAGGCGGCAAGCTGATCCTGTCTCTGGAGGTAAGTGACCTTTGTCCCTGAGCCTGTGGGCCCTGGAGGGCTTCAGAACTGAGCTTTCAGGCTGGAGTGTGGCTCAGTGGTACAGCATTTGCCTAGTATGCATGCGGTCCTGGGTTTAATCCCCAGCACCACACACGTGCGAAGAACAGAGTTTTCAAGCCCCCTAGGAGTCCTGGCCTGGCATCTCCACTTATTAACTAGAGAGCGTGACACATGTCACTTCACTTCTTTGAGCCTCTGCTTTCCTTACATGATACGGGGAAAAGGTTAATGGTAATCACCTCATGTCATCTCCGGTGAATTAAATGAGGTCAGCCCGTGAGTTCCTTGCTAACGTGCAGTACGCACCCCTGGTATTGTTAACATCATCATCGTCCTTCCCGGTAACATCCAGGCCTCTCCTCACCCCTCACACCTCCTCTCAGGGCGGCTACAACCTCCGCTCCCTGGCTGAGGGTGTCAGTGCATCGCTCCACGTCCTCCTGGGAGATCCTTGCCCCATGCTGGAGTCCCCCGGTGCCCCTTGCCCAAGGTGAGCCTGGGGCAGGAGGGCAGGAGGCGCCCTCGCTGCTACTGGGGTCATTTCATTGCAAAACCCCCTCCCCGCCTCCAGTGCCCAGGCTTCGATCTCCTGCACTCTGGAAGCCCTTGAGCCTTTCTGGGAGGTTCTTATGAGACGAGGTAAGTGAGGGGTGGGCTTGATGGGGGGGTGGCCATGGAATGAGCCAAGCGGGAGGCGCTTCCAGATTTCCCTGACTGTCCTGGGCCACCTTGGCGGTGAGCATCAGGCCTTCTCACCTGGCCTAGGTTTCAGGCCTCGCTCCTCTTTATGTTTGGACCACCCGTGTCCTGAGTGTTACAGGGATCCAGACTGGGGAGTGGGGCAAATTGACTTCCCCTTGTAGCCGAGATCCCAGTGGAGGATGGTGTGCAGGAGACCGAGGAGGAAGGACCCTGGGAGCCCCCTGTGCTGCCAGTCCTGACCTGGCCCTTGCTACAGGCTCGAACCGGGCTGGTTTATGACCAGCGGATGATGAGTCACTGCAACATATGGGACAGGTACACAGTGAGCGGGGTGGGCTAAGTAGGTGGGGCTCGTTCCCCTAGCACTAGGACTGAGCCTCTGCCCCCACTAGCCACCACCCTGAGACACCCCAGCGCATCCTGCGGATCATGTGCCACCTGGAGGAGCTGGGCCTGGCCGGGCGCTGCGTCACCCTGCCTGTGCGGCCTGCCACGGAGGCGGAGTTGCTCACCTGCCACAGGTCGGGTCCCCGTCTGGGGTGGGCGGGCACGGGGCTGGGGGTGGAGGAGGGCTTCGAGGTCAGGGCCTGGACCTGGTGCGCCGTACTGCTGTACAACCCGGGGCGCCCAAGTTCTGGTCTCCAGGTTGCGGCCCTCGAGAGCAACAGAGCCACCTCACTGTCCCCGGGCGCCCTTCTCTGTGCCTCCAGTGCCGAGTATGTGGAGCGCCTCCGGGCCACTGAGCAGATGAAAACCCGGGAGCTGCACCGGGAGGGCGCCAACTTTGACTCCATCTACATCTGCCCCAGCACCTTCACCTGTGCGCAGCTCGCTGCGGGCGCCGCCTGCCGCCTGGTGGAGGCCGTGCTCTCAGGAGAGGTACAGCCTGTGTGGGCGCTGGGCTGCGGGGAACCGGGTCGTACAGGACAGAAAGAAAGGGCCACCTGCCGTTTTCGATGGCCTTGAGAGAGTTAAGCAGGGCCCGAGGAAAGGGGCAGTGGGGAGGCCCCAGCAGCTGGTGGAGGGGACAAGAGAAGGGCGAGATGGACAGGGAGCACGTGTGAGGGCAGTGGTCCAGGCTTACTCGCGCTGCTCCCGCAGGTTCTGAATGGTGTTGCTGTGGTGCGCCCCCCAGGGCACCACGCAGAGCAGGACGCTGCCTGCGGTTTCTGCTTTTTCAACTCTGTGGCCGTGGCTGCTCGCCATGCCCAGGCCATCAGTGGGCGTGCCATGCGGTGAGGACTCCCTGGAGATCCCAAACCCTGATCCTTACAGAGACGTCCCCCCACTTCCAGCCCAGGGCTTCCTCAGCAAGCCCATGGCATAACCCCTAGGACTTTTCCAGAAACCACCAGTTGTGCCCTCGCCCAGCACCTCCCCAGAAAAGGACCAAGGAGGGGGCCTCCCAGGGCCTGCCTGCGGGGCTCCCAGACTGTGGCACTCAGGCGCTTACAGCCAGGACCGAGGGTCATACCCCAGTGATTTCGGACCCGTACCAGCCATCCCAGCAGAATCCAGACCCAGGTCCCCAGGGCTTACTCTCAGAATCCCAAGATCCAGCACACATGACTTAGCCACCCGGGCCCTACAGGCCCCACAGGTGTAGCCTCAGCCCTCTCCCAGGGGACAAGTGTCCCAGGCTCCTGAGAAGCTGTCTCCTCCCCAGGATCCTGATCGTGGATTGGGACATCCATCATGGTAATGGGACTCAGCACATATTTGAGGATGACCCCAGGTGAGGGGCTGGGGCCGGGGACAAGGGTGTGGTCGGGGAGGGGCTGAGCTATGCTGTGGAGGCCCTCGGACGCCCTAACCAGCCATGGCTCCCTTTCCGTCCCATCCTGTCAGCGTGCTTTATGTGTCCCTGCACCGCTTTGACCGAGGCACCTTCTTTCCCATGGGGGACGAGGGTGCCAGCAGCCAGGTAGGCAGGGCTGCAGGCACAGGCTTCACCGTCAACGTGGCCTGGAATGGGCCCCGCGTGGGTGATGCTGAGTACCTGGCTGCCTGGCATCGCCTGGTGCTTCCCATTGCCTATGAGGTAAGGCTTGGGATGTGTGTGACGTTCCCGTGTGCATGGCAGCATGTGCCTGCCTCAGCGTGTGTCTGACTGTGGAGTGACTGATCATATGAGATGGCCTGTGGGTGGCTGTGATGGTGGCGGTTGGGGCAAGGGGGGCTCAGATGGCCTTCTGTATCTGTCTAACTGCACAGAAGGCGACATGTGGCTGCCCTCTGCATGACATTCTGTGTGTGAGTAACCCCTTGGCTATCTGTATGAGGGCCTTTGGATGTCCCGTGGCGGCCTGTGTAGCCTGCTAGGTCGGTATTCTCTGTGTCTCCTGTCCTGAGTGCCCACCTGGGTTTGAGGGTGGCCATAAGTGACGCCGACTCAGGAACTGCGTGTGCGCGAGCGAGAGCTGGGGGTAGGTGGGTATCAGTGTGTGACTCTGTGCAAGTAGCTGTTTGTCCTCTTCTCTGTGCAGCAAGTATAGTATTGTACGTCGCTGGCACTGCCATCGCTGGCAATCCGCGTGAGATACTCTGGATATGAGAGGTTGTGTGGGACCACCATTTCTGTCTGTGCGTCTGTCCCGGCTGTTTGTATATGTGTCTCTCTGGCTGGGGGTGGCCTAGCTGTGTCACCTGCCCTGTGTGGGAGCTGAGGGCCAGTGGTGCGTGCACAAATGACCGTGAGGGCACACACGTGCCGCTCTGCAAGCCTGGGGGTATCGTACGCCTTTAGAGCCGCCTGTGCGTGTGGAACTGTGTGGGCCGGTGACCACCTCCTGTGGGTGTAACAGTGTGTCTGTGACTTGTGACAGCGTGTGTGACGGTGACTGCAGGGTGGCTGCGGATCACTGCCTTCTGAGAAGCGGAGTGTGGATGCGCGGTAGTGGGCTGTGCAGTCCCGTCTGTGTGGAACTTACGGTGGGTGGTATGTGACCATCTTCTCTGTGTGTGGCACTTGCACGGTCACAGGTCTGGGGTGAAAATGTGCGTTCGCGTCCTTTTGGCACTCTGTAGGAAATGCCGTGTCACGTGCGTGTCCTGTGTTTGAGCCTGGGGTGCATGTCTAAGGACGGATGTGAGGTGTCTCTCCACATCTCCTGCCGCCATCGCTTTGACATCCGAGTGTCTGTGTCTGCTGTCCCGTGCCTCTGCTGTGGCCCCTCCTGCCCATTTCTCGTGTGTCCGCGCCTCTGTGTCCGCTGTGGCCACGCCCCCGTCTCTCCCAGCTCTGAGTCTCCTTCTTGTTTCCCCATCTTCTGCTCTTTATTTTCAATTCCCCGGTGTTGTCTCTCCCAGCCTCCCAGGCCCAAGTCCCCGTCTCCCTGACTGTCATCTCGTCTCCATCACTTCCTGCCTGCCGAAGCCTCCCCTCATGCTCACGTGTCTCTTTTCTCCTTGCCTCAGTTTAACCCAGAACTGGTGCTGGTCTCAGCTGGCTTTGATGCTGCACGAGGGGACCCTCTAGGAGGCTGCCAGATGTCACCTGACGGTTATGCCCATCTCACCCACCTGTTGATGGGCCTTGCCAATGGCCGCATTATCCTTATCCTAGAGGTAACTCTTTGGCCCCCTTCCTAGGGTGGGGGCAGACAGTTTGGAAGAGTTGGCTGCATCACTCAGGATAATTTCCCAAAACCTCCTTCAAGTGTCCCCACTTGGGATTGTTGGCACATCCTGGGCATTAATAATGACAATAACAGCATTAGCCTCTTTAATTGAGTACTCACTATATGCAAAGCACTCCTCTCGGCACTTTATATATATTATTAATTTGTTTACTTGCTAAAGCAGCATGAGGGGGTAGGATCTACTTCCTTATTGCATTCTTCTTTCAAAATCAGGCAACTGACGCACAGAAAGGGATGATGACTACTTTGAAGTTGCACATTTGATAATGGCAGAGTCGCGGCTTGAACCCAGACAAACCTGGCTCCAGGATTTTTGTGTTTTGTTCTTAAGGAGAGGTTTATTTTAGTTCGCAGTTCATAGTCACCTGCTCTAAGGCAGGCCAGCACAGCAGAGGGGCATGGGAATGGGAGAAGAGAAACAGTCCATGGCGGGGCAGGCAGGAGGAAGCAGCAAAGTACAGGATTTTTGCTTTTTTAACACTACCTGAACTGCCTGAAACAAGTCCTAGGGCAAAGTAAAGTTGTGGACTGTTTTTGTTTTGTTTTGTTTTGTTTTTTTGGTACCAGGAATCAAGCTCATGATCTCAGGCTTGCCAGGCAAGCGCTTATGCCGCTGAGCTATATCCCTGGCTCTCGTGGACCTTTTGTAAATGACTCAGTACCTCCATCCCTGTGCTCAGATAAGTTTCCTTATCTGTAAAATGGGGCTGGTTAGTCATGGGAAAGTGCCTGGCATATTATTAGCACTGTGTAAATACTGCATCTTTTCACTACTATGTGTTGTTCAAACATTAATTAACCCTGTCAGCAAACTTCTGTGCTGCTCTTTTATAGTTGAGGACAGTTAGGTCACAGAGAAATTAACTGCCTTACAAAAGTCCCACTTAAAGTGTGCCTAGGACTGCTTGTGGCAGTGTAGGGTAGTGGTTAAGAACATGGACTATTTTGTCAGTTGACCCAGGTTCAAACCCCACTGCTACCTCTTCAGTTCCTGTGACCTCAGACAAGTCATCTGACCACGCTGAGCCTCAGTTGCTCTGTCTATAAAAAGAGTAGGTACTGGGGCTCCTATTAGAATATGAAAAAGTTCAAGATAGGGGATGGTATAGAGAAGAAAGGTCACTTATTCCTACTTTAGTGTATGTGCTGCCGAAGTGAACACAAGATCAGTTATTCCTGTACTTGGGCAGGGCAGGGCCTTTTGTGGGGCAGGTATCCTGTGCAGGTCAGGGAAGTGGTTCATAGGCTGTGAGGGACTGCTGCAAAGTGAAGTCATTCCTGGATGGCATGGAGGCAGGTTCTTGTACAAACTGAGCACCTGTGGTCATGATAGCTAAGTGCGTTAGTATGCATGGAATATATAAAATAGGGCCTGGTGCATAGCAAGCGTGTAATACATGTCAGCTGTTACTAATGCTCTTGCCGGTGTTATTATCTTACACTTGACAACAAACAATTTACTGTACCAGCACACAGTAAGTGCTGCTCATCTTACAAATGTGAGTTCCACTCATTTGTTCCTGGTACCACCCTCCACTCAGACTGGCAGGGCCCTGGAGCAGAGAGGAAGGAGAATTAGGCAGAACCTCTGACCTTCCAAATACCCTGATGAACCCCCACTGTACCTTTCCCTCCCCTTTTCTTTAACAAAGGGTGGCTACAATCTGACATCCATCTCAGAATCCATGGCTGCCTGTACTCACGCACTTCTTGGAGACCTGCCACCCCAGCTGGCTCGGCTGCGGCCTCCACAGTCCGGGGCCCTGGCCTCCATCACTGAGACCATCCAGGTCCATCGCAGATACTGGCGCAGCTTACGGGTCACAAGTGAGTGCATATGGGGAACTGGGGGGTGATGAGGGGACTCGGGGAAGTAAGGGCAGGGGCAGGGATCAGGGTCCAAAAGGAGGACAAGACCCACACTCAAGGATCTCGCTCCATGGTTCCAGAGGTGGAAGACAAGGAGGGCCTCTCCAGTTCTAAGTCGGTCACCAAGAAGGTGCCCCAACAAGCCAGTCCTGGGTTGGCTAAGGGGATGACCATGCCGAAAGGCAAGGTTCTGGAAGCAGGCGTGAGGAAGGCAACCTCAGCATTATCTGCAGAAGAGTCCACTCCAGGCCAGACCAAACCAAAGGCAGGTAATGTGGCGCTCACTCAGGACCAGTCCTCAGAAGCATCCACCAGGAGAGCCACCCCAGGCAAGGACCCCTCAGAGGAGACTGCGGGAGAAGCCCCAGTGCACCAGGCCACCTCAGAGGCAGCTACACGGGAAGTCGCGCTGCACCCGACTGCCTCAGAGGAGGCTGAGGGAGGAGCCCAGCTGATCCAGACCCCCCAAGCCTCATGTACAGAAAAGCAGACCCCAGCAGCCTCACTTGTGGCAGGAACCACAGCCCTGCTCTCCGCAAGTCAGCTGCCTGGCAACCCTAGTACCTTGGAGCTAGGCGGGGAAGATCTGGTAAGGTCCACTGCACCCAGGGAAAGGGAAAGATGGGTAAGAATGGGCTTCTCAGATACATCTTTTCCTGTGTGTCCAGGAGACCCTAGAATCTCGGGACCTAGGAGAAGAAAGCCTACTAGGAGAGGCAGCGGGAGGTCAGGACATGGCTGACTCGAAGCTGACACAGGAATTTCAGGACCTTGCTGAAACTAACCAGGTGCGCTCAGGGAAAGGCTGGGGTTATGGTACCTTCTCTGGCCCCTTTGTGCCTCCTCACAGGAGCATGCAGTGTAGAAACATATAATAAGAGATGGGAGCCGGGCGTAGTGGCGCACGCTTGTAATCCCAGCACTCGGGAGGCTGAGGCAGGAGGATCATTGCAAATTCAAGGCCAGCCTGTGCTACAAAGTGAGCTCAAGGCCAGCCTGCACTGCATAGCAAGACCTTGTCTCAAAAAGACAAAAAAAAAAAAAGAGATGGGGCCCTCAGCTCACTCAGTGTCACCCATCCACCCTAGGGCTTATTTTATGCTGTGACAGCACTGCCCTGGTGTCCCCATCTGGTGGCAGTACATCCCACGCCTGCAGCAAGCCTCGACGTGACCCAACCGTGTGAGGACTGTGGAGCACTCCAGGAGAACTGGTTGTGTCTGTCCTGCTATCAGGTACATAGCAGAGGAAGGAAACGGGTATGGGTGGCCTAGGAGCAAACCGCAGCTGGGTACAGACACTCATTCCTGACACTTGTTCCCTACCCGCAGGTCTACTGCAGTCGTTACGTCAATGCTCATATGGTCCGACACCACGAAGCCTCTGGGCACCCACTGGTCCTCAGCTATGTCGACCTGTCTACCTGGTGTTACCCCTGTCAGGCCTATGTCCACCACCAGGTGGGTCCTCAGCACACACACCCTTCTGTCTCTGGGGAAGAGGAGAACCCAAAGCCTCTGTGCAGCTTCCCAGTGATTAGTGCAGTCTGGGGCCTGTGGGGCTGACCAGGCGATGGAGTGCTTGAGGGCTGGAGCAGGGGCAGCCTCCTGGCTGAGATAGAGCAGTCCTCACTTCTCTCACCGGCCCTATTCTTGCCTTTTCCTCAGGATCTCCTAGATGTGAAGAACATCACCTACCAGAAGAAGTTTGGGGAGGACATGCCCCACCCACACTAAATCCCAGAAGGTCCTCCCTCTTCTTCACCTTCTGAGGCCCCAGGTAGATCAGCCTTATTTCCTACCACCTATACCTTGGATGAGGGTGGCTCTGCCCTATCATGAATATCCTTTGCCAATGGCCCCAAGGGTGCTTATTTGCGTGTAAATACATTTTAAGAGGACTATGATCGTCAACTATGGATCTACCCCTGTCAACTGCTGGTTCAAGGGACACCACTACTCCACCCTAGAAGGAAAGAAGGGCAGCTCAGTGTCCCAAAGAGAGGGCTAAACTCAAAAGGATAACATTGGGTGGGGGGTATAACTGGCAGTTATGGCAGGGTTGCGTATTTAATAAACTTCAAGTTGCTACAAAACCTAGAAAAAGCCTTTTAACTTTCGATTATATTGAGAACCCCACATCCCTTACCCAGCAGGGCTGATGAATAATAAAGGAATGAGGGATCTACAACGGGTCAACCCTCTGCCCATCCATTGCCCAAAAAAATCTAACTGAAAATAGAGCAAGTGGCTTGACTGGCTCCACTGGAGATTTAAGAGTAGAATCCATGAGAAAATGGGTGCCCCTTAGAAATAGGGGCCTCACAGCCAGTCCGAGCCATAGGGGAACTACTGAAGTATCCTCCACATACCCCACTTTCCCCGTGTGTCTCATTGACCTAATTGATAGGATGGGTTCAAGCTTCACCTGGATATGGGGGTCATGGGTACAGGTCCTGGTCCAGAGGTGGGAAACTAGAGCACAGTTTTGGAGCTTTAGTTCACTCACATAATAAGAATTGCTTTGGCTTAAGTTTTGTGGAACTGTTTTTCATTGCCACTTTCAGATCCCAAGATGAGCACCAGAGATCAAGGGCAAGAGGGCTTGGGCCAGCCCAATTGTAACGACATTATAGGTGGCACACCTGCAAACCTCTACTGATTATCTCACCGATCAGAACTGTGTCCCTATGCTTGTCTAGCTGCAAGGGAGTCTGGGAATTTTTTTTTTTAATTTGTAATTTGAATATCCATCCCTAATCGGTTGTTTTGGCCCTGACAGAGTAAACCTCTCCCCTTGCAGTTCTTTCCCTCCGGGACAGACCCAACCCCCTCCAGACCTACCAAGATCCGAGTTTAAGCAGTTGCACAGGCTCCTTGGCCCCAACACACACAAAAAATGGTTCAAATGGCCCCACCAGGTCAAACTTAACCCTTCTCTGCACGTGCAGACCCGTCCCAAGCACAGGCGAGGGAGAGGTGCGGTAATGCTTGGGCAGGGCGCCCCTCTGGCGCACATGTGGCAGGTGTCCGAAGAAACCGGGCGATTAAGCCCGTGCTTTCCACCGACGGTTAGAGGTGGGGAGGGTGCCTGAGGGCGGGCTGCACATGCCCATTGCCCCCACCCCTCACTGCCTGGTGGGGGGCAGCCTTGCACCTGGTTGCTGCTGTCTGCGCTGCTCCCTGCGACGCAGCACTGCTGTTCCCGCAACTCAGGTGAGTGGGCCGCCCAGATCTAGCCGCGTTTGGGCCCGAAGGTCTTTCCACACCGGAGTCAAGGGGATCCTTCCCCACCGCCTTTACTGCTGGGAGAGAGAGCCTAGCTTTCACTCCGCCGGGTCGGGTGCCCGCACTTTGCAGGAGGCTGCTTCTCGGGATGCACCGTGCAGGCTAGAGATGCGGTCAGGGATGCGGCCCATGGCCAACCCTGCTCACCTCCAGGTGTGCATCTTGCCTGCCTTGGACAAAACAAAGTGCAGGACCCGCAGGTTACCCAAGTCTGAAGGGGGCCTCGCTCCCCTCCACCCTCCCTCACCTCCTAGGGCAGCTAGGGAGGCCACCGACCGGCCCAGGCAGTGCCAAGTGGGTGCTCGAAGGGTCTCAAGGACCCTTCGGGGACACTGTAGTAGCACCAGCCACAGCGAGGGCTCTGTGCTCCTAAACAGAAGGCTGGGACCCCAATCTGCGATCGGGCCGGTCTCTGGCACTCCGTTTCTCTGAGTGCCCTGTTCCTCATGGGATACAGGGGTCCTGGTGACCATAACCTAGGCCCTACCCCTAGAGTGTCCAAAGATGGGGTAAGTGTGATCTGAGCAGGGGCTCACCCTGCCTCTACCACACCTTCAGGAGGTGGTATCTGGGCATCTGTGATCATTACCAGCACCTTGGCCAAGGGGAATCCCTGCTCACACTTCCCCCGCCTCTGATGACAAGGCCCCAAATTTTCAGCTGGTCCAGCTCCAAACTTGGGAGTTCCCCTTGCCTGCGCCCTCCTCCCCTTTTTCATCTCTAGAGAATGAAAATTTCATTCAGAATCAGAATCTACCGGAATCCTGCCGTCCTTTCATCAGCAGTGGCCCCCTTGTCCTGGTCTCCCCTCCAGAGTGTCTTCACAGCTACACCTTCCTCCTCTCCCCAAAGGGGTGAGCGCCTCCACAGCTGTTCTCTCCTTCTGTCTTGTCCTGCCCCCCTTCCTGGGCACAGGCTTGCAGTGAGCATTTTCAGGGACCCCTCCATCTCACCCTGACCTGCACTTCCCAATCTCAGCGGAGCCTGGGATGGATACCTGGGACCCAGCATCTGCCCCCAAATTGCCATTGCTCCCCAGTTTTTTTGGGGGGGGTACCAGGAATCGAACTCAGAACCTTGCACTTGCGAGGCAGGCACTTGTGCCACTGAGCTATATCCCCGACCCGCTGCCCAGCTTCTAGGTGACCATTATGGTGCACTCAACGAGTGACTCCCAAAGGAGACAGGGAGGTGCATTTATGAGGTAATGGTGATTTGCTATTAATAGCTAAGCAAATCAGCACGTGCTGTGTGCCTACCCTCTTCTACTGTGCGAGGTAATTTCCTTATCATGGGTATCGTCTTTCACAGTCAGAATCCAAAGCTCCCAAGGCCTAGAGTTGAGTCTGTTTTGTTTAGTGCTGTGCCACAAAGTCTGGCATACAGGAAGATGCTTAGATTGAATAATAGTAAAAATGCCTAACAATAGCCGAGCACCTTCTACTGAAATATATTTTACATACCTACCTTGTCGCCTGTTGCCAGATGATATGGAATTACAGACAATAACGTAGAATGTAACATTCATGGGGCCAGGAGTCATCTACTTTTTTTTTAATCTCTATGTCCTTGCCACACAGTAGGTTTTCCAATAAATATATGTTGACTAAATGTATAGACTAAATTCTAATGAAATAATAAAAATAGACTAAATTCTAATGAAAATAGTTAGACTATGGAACTCACCCAATTTATTTGGCTAATTATCTCTTCAGATTCTAGTATTCTGTTACAGTACAAACCCTGTGAGGTGGGAATGGTCTGAACAGGCCACCTGGGGGCTGGAGTTCAGTGTCCACCGAAATAAGCAAAATCTCGCCCTCCCTCTGCATTGTGAAGTGAAAGGTTAATGTGCAAGAGGGTTCTTCTCCAAGTAACAAAAATGTTCTGAAATTCACACTACTTCACGAATAGGCTAAAATTCATTGAATCACATATTTTAACTGGATGAACTGGTGGTGCATGTTTGTAATCTCAGCACTCGGGAGGCTGAGGCAGGACAGTCCCTGGGAGTTCAAGGCCAGCCTGTGCTACAGAGTGAGACCCTCAAAAAAAAAAAAAGAAGAGGCCGGGGATATAGCTCAGCGGTATAAGTGCCTGCCTGGCAAGTGTAAGGTCCTGAGTTCGATTCCCAATACAAAAAAAAAAAAAAAAAAAAAAAAAAGAGAAAGAAAAAACTGGGTGAACTTTATGGACTATAAATTATATCTTAATAAAGCTGCCTGAAAAATCCTGCCTTGGGGCTGAGAGGATAGCTGAGTGGTAGACAACCCCATCACCTGGTCCCAGGATTCTCAGCAAAAGAAAAATCTCCCCTTCACAAAGTTGCTCTTATAGAAGGAAGCGGGGAGAGCAACAAAAATAATGCATGTTTTGTGCCTGTCCTCTAGAAGGAAGTTAGAAGGTGATCAGCACACAATAGGTGCTCATAAATGTTGACTCAGTGCCGCCTGTCCCTTCACCCCCCAGTTTGCCCCGACCTCTCTCCACTTTGTCTTTCTTCGCTCCTTACTGGCAGAACTGGCTGTTTATATCTCTTCCCTGAATTGCCTGTTTGGGGCATGGAGCTGCCACTGCCACTTAGGGACGTCACCATGAGCCTGGGCACCTGGAGCCCCAGCTCCCAGGAGAGGCAGGAGGCTTCGGTACACAGCAAGGATGCTGCTGAGAAGCTGCCCGAGTATGAGGCAGTGGTGGTCGGCACTAGCGGTGTGGGCAAGAGTGTGCTGACCATCCAGATGACCCAGCATTGCCTTGTGGAGACCATGACCCCACCATCCAGGATTCCTACTGGAAGGAGGTAGCCCTGGACACTGGGGGCTACATTCTAAATGTGCTGGACACGGCAGGGCAAGATACCCACAGGGCCCTGTGGAACCAGTGCCTGGCGGCTGGGGATGACGCACTGGGTGTCCGTGCTCTTGATGACCCCTCGTCTCTGGACCAGCTACAGCAGACGCGGGACACCTGGGGCCTTTGCCACACCCAACGCCTCATCCTGGTGGGCAACAAGTGTGACCTTGTGACCACTGCTGGAGAGGCGCACGCCGCTACTGCTGCCCTCGCCCGAAGATGGGGGGCCCCCTTCGTGGAGCCCTCAGCCAAGACACGGCAGGGTGTGGAGGAAGCCTTTTCCCTGCTCATCCATGAGACCCAGAGGGTCCAGGTGGCCATGGCAGAGGCAGGGCGGAAGCGGACCCAGCACCGGAAGGCTGTGTCTAGCTGTGGCTGCTCTGCGGCCTGAAGATCTTGGTCAGAAAAAGCAGCCCTCCCCCAGGCCAGTGTGGGGTTCCCTTGACGAGAGACACCTCAGGAACTTAGGAAGGTGAGCCCACCGCTGCTGGTTGGGGATAGATGACACCTTTCTTCCTTTCATTTGGTGAGGAGCTTTTTGGTGACATGGGGGTGTCTAGGGTTGCCTGTGTCATGTCAACTTAGAGTCTGTGCAAGATTAAGTAAATGAAGCTTTCAGTTTCAAAGCTGCCTCTATGCTGGGTGTCATGTGGGTGGGAGCAAGACTGCGTGGACTATTACTTAAGCATAAGAAGTCTTTCATTCAAGAAATCTGGGGGAGCTGGGCATGGTGGCACATGCCTGTAATCCCAGCACTCAGGAGGCTGAGGCAGGAGGATCTTTGTGTGTTCGAGGCCAGCCTGGGCTACACAGTGAGCTCAAGGCCAGCCTCAACTGCATAGCAAGACCGTCTCAAAAAAAAAAAAGAAATTTGGGGGAGCCCTACATGTGCCAGGCCCTGTTTGGGGTACACAAAGGATGTGGAGGTGAATTTTTTTTAATGGCCCCTTTCTTATTTTGTTTTATGCCCTTGGGTGGTTTTTTGGTTTTGTTTTGGTTTTTGGTTTTGTTTGGTACCGGAAATCGAACTCAGGACCTTGTGCTTGCCAGGCAGGCGCTGTGCCGGAGGTGAATTCTTACCCTTGTATGACAGAAAGCTAGGAAGTGATAGAGGCTGATGATAAGGCAAGTGAAGGAACACAGTGACAGGGTGGTCAAGGAATCCTTATGGAGTAGGCAACAACTGGATAAAACCTTGCTGGTATCCAGGAGCAGAGGGAACAGCCAGTGTAAAACCAAGACCACGACCCCAAACCAGCCACCGGCCCCTTGGTGCCCTTGGTCCTCGGGTGAGGGACCCCTGGAAGATGCTACTGCAGGCCCTGAAAGAGGCTTCAAAGCCCAAGGCCAAGAAGGGCAACACCAAGATGGGGGGGGCGGGGCGCTGCCACTGTCCCTGCGGATGGCTCCACCAGTGAGGAGAGGCACAGGCTGAACAGAGGGTGTCGCTAAGTTCAAGACCTAGGGCCCTTCTACCCCAAGAGCAGCGACCACTGACCAGCCCACCAGCCCACCAGCCCTTTAGCTTACTGCCGCTCACACAGACAAACAGCTGTTTCAGATGGTGTTATTGTAAGGCTAGGGGCCGGGGTCTGGAGGTCGAAGGGGAAGCTGGTCTTGACGTGCTGGCGGGGTGTCCGGGTGGCTGGCGTGCTCCTCGGGTCCGGGGCACGCTGGATGCAGGCGGTGCTCAGGGAGGCAGGAGACGGCGCGCTGGCGCGGGGGGCGGGGAGTTCTCCAGGCGTTTCACTCGAAGCAGCGCCCCCAGAACACCTTCGGGGGGTGCCTCCGGGCCCAGCTCCTGGTCGGCGGCGCGGCGAAGGCGGCGTGGGGCGGCCCCGGCTTCGGGCTCCGCGCTTCCCGTGAGGATTCGCCCCAGCAAATACCTGCGGGACAGAGCAGAATGCAGGGGACGAGGCGGCTGCGGGTCGCCCCTGCAGCCCAGGAACCTGGACAGCACACCTTGCAACCCCACAGAGCCTGGTCCTTCCCCACCCGTGTCCCTGGCCCACGGCTCTCAAGAGGTGAACCCCATGCCAGAAATGACAGCAGCCTGGCCTCCCGTGCCTGGCAGACCGCGGGCGCCCGGGCCTCTCTCTCTTCTCGGGCCAGGGGTGCATATCCTGCAGTGCCTGGCGCGGATCTTCGCCCCCACACCTCCCGTCCAGGATCTCACTCAACCAGGACCCGGACTCTCGCCCCCCGCCCCGGGGACTTAGGTGCCCGTGTCATCGCTGGATGACGTCGTGCCCTCCACCCTCGCCCTGGCTCTCGCCCTTCCGGGACGCAGCGCCTGTGCCCTCCCCGCCCCTCGCCCGCACCTCAGCAGCTCTGGGTCCACGTCGGGCGTCTCGTCTCCGGTGTCCTCGGTATCTGGGCCGGTGGGGCCGTCGTCATAGACTGGGGGCCGGGGTCGGTGCGCAGCGGCCGGCGCGGGAGCCGGGGCAAGCTGCGCT